TAATCATGATCTTATGTATAGACAAGGATGAGATGGAAACTTGGTGGGTTATAGTGATAGTAGTCACGGGATGGATCGTGATGATGGCAAAGGCAAAACTGGAATGGCATTTTATCTCTAAGGAAATCTGGTCACATGGAGTTCACAAAAGCAGAGGACTGTGGCTCTGTCTTCCTGTGAATCAGAATTCATGGGAGCAACATCAGCGGCTTGTCAAGCATTGTGGTTAAGAAACCTCTTGAAGGAATTGATCAGCTGAGAGGTTAGAAAGGTCAAGTTGTATGTAGACAACAAATCTGCAATAGAGCTCATGAAGAACCCTGTATTCCATGGTAGGAGCAAACACATTGAGACTCGATACCATTTCATCCGTGAGTGTGTGGAAAATGGATTAATTTGTGTGGTGCATATAAGTGGAGAGGAGCAACGAGCAGATACTCTGACCAAAGCATTACCCCGGGTGAAGTTTGCTGAGATGAAAAGTCTTCTGGGAGTTGAGAAGCTTGAAGACCCTATTCAGAATTAGAGGGGAGAGTATTGGAGTTAATTCTGATTTGAATTTGAGTTTAATGCAATAAAGAGAATAATCGGTTACCACATTGTGGTTAACCTAGTAGTTAAAGTTTTCAGTTATAGTTTGGTAGTTTTAAAAGCACTTTTAATTCAGGTTTTAATGTGATAAGAGTCTATAAATTGCAATCAGTTTGTAGTTTGTTTGGAGTGTGTCAAATAAAGAAGAATTCAGAAAATTTTATGTGTGCATTCTTGCCTTTGTTTCAGACCTGTGCAGTTTTTATTGTGATCATTTCTAGCTTGATCACCAACAAAACTAACTAGACTTGTCAAAAACAAAATAAATTTGTTTTTTATTAAAGGGTTTCTAGCCCAGTGGTATCCGGTGTTGTCCTCTCTCGTTGAAGTTGAGGATTTGAATCTCATTATGGACATAGATGAAATAATTTAGGAGTAGTTTAGTTTGCCGTTCAAAAAATAAAACAAAGAAAAAAGATCATAATTTTTTCTTTTGTTTTGTTACTTTCTACCTAGATTTAATAGCAATAAAAAACGCTATTTTTTGGATCCCCAACTCGTTTTGCTAAAAACTGCTATAGTTTATGAAAAACAACTTAAAGCAACTTTATTTATGTGAAAAACACTTAAAATAGCTTCATTTTTGCACACAACAAGCTCATTTTCATGCAAAACAACTTCATTTTCTCAATAAATAAAAACACTTGCAAACATATTTAGTTTTTTGAGAAACAAATACACTATTTCTCTCCTCTCTCTTGTCATTCTCATATACACCCTTACAAAACTCCTCTGACATTAGATAGCATTATCGGGACAACCTGGTAATGCTCGTATTTCCTTGTTTTATTTTCAGGCAGTATACTTGATTCAGTAGAAGCAGTTTAGCCATTGAGATCAAGACCGGTGAAGATCCATGTAACATTAATATTGTTCAAACTCAACCTTTCGAAGTTGATGTGCTCCTGATAAAACTAGTACAAATACAAAGTGTTTTAAGATCTACAAAACATATTGCCGAAGTACAAAAACTAAAATTTACTGGTAATTCCTGAAAATAAGTAATTAATCATCCACGTGATTGGCGATATCATGGATTTCACATGATTAACCGTTAATAATTAAAAGAGTAAATTACACGAATGGTCCCTATGGTTTAGGGTAATTTGCGTGTTTGGTCCCTAACTTATTTTTTTAACTCGGAAGGTCCCTACTGTTTGTTTTTGTTACACGTTTGGTCCCTATCTTAACTAAAAAGACAATTTTGCTCTTGATTTTTTAATTTATTTAGATAAACATATTCCCAACCCCACTCCATTCACCTTATCTTACCTACTCCACCATTTTTTCCTATTTAAATAATAGTATTTTTAGGTAAGATAGGGACCAAACGCGTAATAAAAACAAACAGTAGGGATCAAACACGTAATAAAAGCAAACAGTAGGGACCTTCCGAGTTAAAAAAATAAATTAGGGACCAAACGTGCAAATTACCCTAAACCATAGGGCCCATTCGTGTAATTTACTCGAATTAAAATGAGATATTTAGCAAAATTCGGAAGAAGTATTTGTATAGACAGGGTTCGTATTTCTTAATGGAACAAAAGCCAGGTCATAAAAAATTTGGGTATCTTGGCAATTAGGGAGGCAAAAAAAAAAAAAAAAAGGAAATCACATATGAATCATAACATGAATAACACACATTCTTGCGTTCTCGATTTCATAAGATAGGTTGTCATTTCGTCACATTGTCAGTTTTCTATTTAAGATTTTCCATTGTATATTGATTTTATCCTCATCACTTCATCCCACAGGCTTAAACTCTCTTTATGGTTCATGATTTTTTAAATGCGTGTGTCTATATATACTGTTAGTCGTGTGTGCATATTTAGGGTCAAAAGTTGTTGTAGAAACTAAACTTTGCCATTAACATGAAACATGTTGAATGTAAATTGGCTCTTATTTTAAATGTTACAGGAACTACTAAAATCTCTGTTTTCAACAGGAAATATTGAACACACATTTTCACAATTTGAAGACATTATGCTTTATGCCATGCTCAATGCCCCCTAACTTGATAAAATAGCAGCGAAATATCAAAATACTATAGCCAGTAAGCTAACATAAACCTTTAATCTGCAGCTGCAGTATCTGTCATGTGGTTATGATGTACCTAGATCAAATAACACATTTATTTGAAGCATCTGGTAAAGATTAAATTAAGTTGGATCTTTATATGTCAATCCAGTTGTCACTAATTAAATACAATGTTCAAACATTGAACATTGCATGTTTGTAATTTGTTAACAGGTTTCTATACTTGGATCTGAATTTAAAACGATATTATCGGGACAGAGATAAGAACATTTTTTTTTTTTAAATATCTGATTTGGGGATGCCACGCCCCATTTCCATTCATCTTCTATGGTTCTTTTTTGCTTTTGAATATTTCATTTGTTTATTTCTAGTTTTGTAAATCCATCTACCCTTTAATAATTGTAGTTCTATATTGATGACACTCACATGCTATATAACTTTTAATTTAATATTTAGGTGGTCTTGAATTAATGTACGTCTATTCAAAAGAAATTGGTACAAATTTTGGGTCTTGTGCTAAATGAATGCGATGGGATTGTTAATTTACCCTGTTACGTGATTGCTAATTGATCAAACTTGCAGTTTATTTACTTGTGATATTTATTTTGAAGCAACATTTTTGGAAATTCTCGAATAAAAACATAATATTTTTTGTTTGTTTACGGTCTAATTTCAACATTTGTTTTTTAACATAATTTTGATTATCTAATTTTATATGATAATTTGTCATTTTCTTTTGAAAAAAATAAAAATCATCTTATTAATTTGGGTAAAATATAAAATAATCGAAACTTTTTTGTTCAAAAATTGAGATTAAACTGTAAAGTAATATAAAATATTACGACTTTATCAGAGAGATTTTCCTAATATTTTTTTTTATAATCATTTAATTGAAACATTTGAAGGATAATTTTAGAATGGTTATTTGGAGTAAAACAAAGAATATGATATTATAATAAAGCTTCAAACATATTAATACTTCCATGTAAGATTTTGATAAAAAAAAAAATTGTTAATTAAATAAACTCTAATACTAACCATAAGCTTTTAGGCATAACGAAATTAAATCATTAGATGAGGGCTAATCGAATATAATATATTACGGAGAATCCGCATCTAATTCAATAATGGAAATGTCTTATTCAAACATACCATGGAAGACTCAAAAGTGACATAATATTCCACGATTCCTAAACAAATATAATTATTTTATTATAAAGTAAATACAATAATATAATTTTAAATCATAGATTAATAGTAACCAAGTCAAATAAGATATTTACTAATTTATTAAATGAAAATTGAATTATCGGAATATTTTTTTTTTGTTTTTTTATTATATGTAGATAACAAATTGTCAGAGTGTTCACATATAATAATTATGATCGCAGTAGTAAATTATAGTTTACAAGGTGTATATGTATATATGACAAAGATAATCACCTAGAATAGTAATGAACTACTGGTTTTGTTCACATTTAAACAATCTCCCTTTTTCTTTCACATTCAACCACCGAAATTATTAAAATTGTTAATATAATGCAATTGTTTCATAAATTTAAATCGGTAAGAGTCAACTTTAGTCCACACCAGAAACCTTTTGTGAGGTTAAGAGCTTCTCACACAAATCAAATGCTTGTATATTTATTTTTCTTTTGTGAAGCTGAATTATATTAGTAAAGTAATTAAATATGATTTTTTAGTATTTTTATCCAATACAACTTACTTGTCGACATCACCAAGTGTTATTTTAACTATGATCTAAATAAAATAAGAAATTTCCCTTAAATATACTATAAAGGATTAAATACACTAAAGTACACTAAGTTATTTCCCTAAAAATCACAAATTTAATAGGCCCTATGCTAACTTCAAAAATCACAAATTTAACCAGTTGATTGTTTCAAAAATACACTGTTACTATGTTTTAACCAGTTGATTGTATATATATATATATATATATATATATATATATATATATATATATATATATATATATATATATATATATATATATATATATATATATTTTTTACTTTTTATACATATACGGTGGTATCTATATTAAGAGTGGTATCTTAACCGAACACCTACATGTGTATGGATGTAGTATGTGTGTGGACCTTGACACATATACTATGTGAATATTTTTTGGGTTGGTTAAAAAGACATCTCATTTTACCCTATAGACATACTAATTAATTTTTGAAATATTTAAATTGATTGAAATATCATTGTTTCCCGAAAAAACTTTATAATAACTTAACTAGAGTGGAGCCAATGTTGTTGACTTTAACTGACAATTCAAAAATTTTTAAAATGTATTATGTGAACAAGGTTAATTCGTTAGATGGTATAATGTATTATCTTTGCTACATATACTTCACATAAACTATAACTCGGCTAGAATAGGTCATGATGATACATGAACTTCCAATAAATTCATTATTCCCTGCATGTATACCAAAAAAAGAATTACACAAATATGAACGCTTCCGATAAATAAATTTACCCTAACAAATCAACTTCCTGTAATTAATTTTCAATATTTACTATTATAATTATTTATTCTGAAGGTGAATATTTTCACTTCCGGTGAAAACTAAATGATCACTTATCATGACCAAAACCTACGCGACTACACCATAAGAAATCATGTCGCATCACACAGTAACTTCTAGCATCAGCAATCACCTGTATCAGTTCTCATACTAGAGAACAAAACGAGAGCCGTTGATTATGAAACAGACGACTCTGAATCCCGAAAGCAAAGACGAGATCAAGAGGAACAAAAATCCGGCGAATCCCAAGGCCACGGCGATATCGGATTGGACGCAAAAGGCGTTATTTGCCGTACACGTGCCAATCGCTCTCAGTTGTCTGGCAAGCTCCGTCGCCGCCGACCCGGCAGACAGCAACAAGTACGCAAACACCTGTGAAAGACGACACTGAATAGCTGGACTTATCGTCGTTTTTTTTTTTTTTGGATTTGGATGTGTATATGTATGTGTGTTTTTTGCAGATGAAAAACATTCTTCACAGGAAATTTTTGAAGGAATCGAGGAGAAGGTTTTTGAGGATTTTAATTCAAACGAGAAAGAACCTGATCGTGTCCGAAATCGAACCAGACTTGAGTGAACTCCGGGAAAATGGTAGCACCTCTAGAAATTTCCCAAACAGAAGCTCCCATTTCGAAAAATGAATATAAAGCGACGATAGCGTTTGCAGCGACAACGAATCTGTAGATATTTAGCAAATTTGGTATGTTTATGAATTATGATAGAGTTTCTGAATCGATTTATTGAAAGCGAAAGGGAGTAGTTTGATTACCGGAAGGCGCCGAAGTGGTACCAACGAGGGGTATCCGATGAGGAGGCGGTGTTGGTGGTGAGCATGAAAACGGCGGAGGAGATGGAGGAACCAAAAGCGGCGAAACGGAAGACAAAAATCGATATATTGAAGCGACGGAGCTTGCGTTCGGAGACGGTGGACTGGAAAAGAGGCGTGTCGTGAGGATGCGTCTGGTGGATTCGAGGTCGTGGAGATGGACTCTCAACTCCGCCGTTACGGACCATGATTTACGTTCGCGGCCGGCGTTGTAGATTTCAGAGTTTGAATGGTGAAAATGAAAAGTGTTGGGAAGATGGCGTGATTTCCATGGGAGCTTCAGTCATTCTGCAGATAATGAAAAGGGGATGTAGCAGAAAGAGTGTGTGTGAAAGTGAATGTGAAGGACAGAAGGTGGGGGATGGCCGGATGGTTCTTTTTCTTTTCTTTTTGATACTTACTTTTGGTTTGAAAAGCCATTTTATTTTTCTTTTTCACATTCTTTTTTACTTTGTTTACATTTTGCATTATAATTTAAGGGTTATATAACTGAAAAGATGAATATTTTTGGGTGATGTATGTGATATTTATGTTTAGTGTAAGTCAACATTAAACATGTCATTAATTACTTTTAGTTCTAATTTATATATCACATCATGTTAAAAAGGAAGTTTCTTTAGAAAATATAAATATGATTTCGGAATTATAATAGAAATAAAAATAAATACTAAATTAATTATGATATTGCTTTATTGAGAAGACTAAAATTCAATCAAAATGGCCATTGGTTTAGTAGTGCAAACGAGTCTAGTAAACTCGTGAAATATTTGAGACTGATTTGAAAAATACTTGAAATTGATTAGGTTCGAGGCGAGTCAAACTCGAGTTCAAGTTTGAGCCTGAATAATAGAATACTCGATTTGTGAAACTCAAGAGCTTAATCGAGCTTAGTCATATTTACTCTATTACCTTTTATTGTAATTAAATTACATAATAGAGTCAAATTGAGTCAAGTTTGCAAACTTGATAATATTTTTATTATGGTTTAATGTCATTTTGTTTTCTTAGTAACTGATCGAATCGAGTTTAGTCTAGTTAAAGAATATAGATTACTTTTTTGGAGCTTATGCCTAAGCATAAAATTAAGACTCAAAGAATATAGATTACTTTTTTGGAGCTTATGCCTAAGCATGAAATTAAGACTTGAGTCGAGTACGAGTCATATTTAGAGCTTGTCATTAATGGATTTGACTCAGCTCAGTGATACAAGTCTACAAAGAGTTCTCATTGGTGGTAATCTCTAAATATTATTAAAAAAGAACCCTTAATCCACAAATGAAGCAATCAGGACCTTTTATTGTGTTTTATTCCTATATATTCCACCATTAGATCAAATTGCTGACATCATCTTTCTCAAATATAATTCAAACACAAATGCATTTAATTATAGAATCTGTAATAATTATAGAATTTTTAAATTTAGTAATTATTTTATCAATTGAAACATATCATTCTATTTATATACATTATATTTTCTCTAATTAATATTGTTCCTAATTTAACTCCCTTATTTATAGCTTTTGATTTCCAAATTCAAACTCGTTTATAATTTTTTTTTTTTTTTTAAAGAACTCATTAAACAAGCATATCAATAATTAAGTCAATATTATTCATAATTTAAGAATCAAAATTAAAGTCAATATTATTCATAATTTATCTCTCAGTAAATCCTACATAAAATGAATCAATTTGAGACAATTATTTAAATTTTAAAACTGATTAAATAAGAAAGTCAATTAATTTGAAGTTTTGAATTAATATAGCTGATATCTTTGTTTTTTTCCAGATGAATAGCCGAAAATCTCCAAGATGATATCTTAGGATCCAAATTTTTTTAGAAGATAATGATTTTCTTATTCAAAAACACCCTATATATACGATTGCACTGAAGTGACTATTCTTACGATTTTGGTTTAAGTCCTATGATTACAGTGTTCTTCTTGAGCAATCTTCTTCTTCAATTCTTTTTCCAAGCTCTTACTTTACTGTGTTCTCTTTGTTCTTCTTTAATTTCTTGCATTTACTATGTTTTTTTATTTGTTATTACTATGTTCTTGTTGAGAGGTCATGAAAAAAATAATCAATCCACTTTAAGCATATTGGTTTCATTCATTTAGTTAAAGAAACAAAATTGTACCCTTTATACCGATTTTTTAATGTGTTGACATATGTTTGTCAAGAGAAAGCCATATGAGTCGGTTTGATGCATGATGACAAAGCTAGTGGAACGGACCGAAAACAGAATAAATAAGTTTTTTTTATTATTATACTTCAACTTGCATGAACAAAGACGTATCTGTTGTTCCAAGGTTTTCAATATCTCTTTTATACACATTATTATAATCTTCGATTAAATTTTCTAATTTTATATTATTGACTTTGTTTATATCAATCGTTTTAGTATCAAAATCACCATTATAGTACAAGATTTTATTGACTTGGTGTCACTTACGTTATTTGATTGTGACGCAAAGAATTTTTTGGAAAAAAACACACAAGAGTTGATTCAAAAGTTTAATGAGGTTATCGATATTAACTTCATTTACATAAAACTAATTTTTACTTTTTGTCTGTCTATTTTTATAACTGTTAATTTTTTTCATTTTTAGGAGGGTAATATGAAGATTCATTTCATCATATTTTATTTTGTCACGTTCGTGTGTTTGGGAGGTTTTTGAACTACATGATTTATTGATTGTCAACATACTGCCTGATTAAACTTAGTTCTTTATGCAAAATAAGTTGATAGTAGTTGATTCTCTACTTAATTTTGATTATGAAAGTAAGTTTTATTCAGACTGAGTTGAGATTGCGGTCTACATGAATATTTTCAAGAATTTATTTGTTTTAATGTTTCATATGTATTTCTTTTATGAAAAATTAGTGAAATTTTGCACATGTAACTTCTATGATGCAAATAGCGATAAAGAGAATATAGTAGAAGTACTGATGTTGTTTTCACCAAATTGTAATGACATGGTACTCTCAAAGTTAGTAAACTTCATAAGAAGAAATAAAGAAACAAGTCTATTTGTGTCATTTTGACATGTAAGGAAAGACACTTGGCGTGTGGGAGTTTAGAACATGCAAAGGATACGTGTTACCATTAGAGGTAAATGATGACCTTCAAACATGACCAAAACAATGTAACCGCAATCTAGAATGGGTAAGCACCAATAAATAGTAACCTACTTTGGATTCATTTCTTTCTATCGCACCTTAAAGGATGATTTAAGATTATAAGATATATTTATGTTATTTACCTTTACATTTATTACTTAACTAAAAAACCTAATGTTATTTTTTCTAAGTTTCATAACTGTAATGACTAATTTATCCTTAGATATATTCTGAAGAAAAAAAAAACAGTACAAATCTATTTAGCATCTCAAGGGGCGGTCAGGTGGATCAAAGTTTTGGATAGAATTGCCAAACCAAAGGAGATATGTGGATGCCTTAATGAGTAAAAAGGTGTGTGTTTTACTAATTATTATGGAGCATCAGTTTCCAATGTTTGCAGTAGAGCTGTATAAAAAAGAAACAATTTTTATTTTTAATTTCTTTATCGTTATGTAGCTTCAATTTGTAACGTTTATGTAGTATAGACAATCTGACAGGTGATTTCAATTGCTCTTTATAATCATTACAAGAGAAATTATCATGCCTCTATGCATACAAGTCAAAAAACTAAAAACAATGATGTTGATCATGTTGGATTGGATAAGAGCAATGTTCCGTTAGGGGGTCCAACTGGCTCAGGTTTTCACTTATTGTTTTGATTCTTTTTTTTTTTGTTTGTTATATTAAAAAAAATTGATTTTCATATCATCAATTTGATAGAAAATGATGGGAAGACATTACTTGAAAAGACCTTAAATCCAATAGTAAATGGGCCTTTTTTTTATTGTCGATGCTACTACATTGACACAGGCAGGTTTTATATAAGTTGTACCTTACATCAGATTCTAAGTTTATGTATGTATGTATGTATGTATGTATGTATGTATGCATTGATTTCTTGATATTTCATTATGTTTATTTTGGTTGGTTGGATTTAGGCTGCTACTTTCATTTGTATTACAAAATTGAACTTTGGAAAACCTATTAACTGTACTTCAAAAATTCACCCAGTTATTTTAGAACCAGATTCATTTGAAAAAACCATTAGAAATGAGGATCAAGTAAATACACAACACAAGTAACAAAAGTGTATATAATTAGTTTTTTTTTCTGTCTTTTGATAATGAGATCAAGTAGCAATATTTATAATGCTTTGTGTGTTTAACAATTTCATGATTTGCAGTGCTAAAATGCATACATTGAAAATGAGATGACTACCTATGAGAAAGGTAAATTGCATATGGTCAGACTTAGTCAAATCAAAATTCACCCTTTCATTGTATACTTGAAAACTCTTTGTAAAACTAAACTATATTTTAACTATTTTTTAGTAAAAGTGATTAAAGTACGTTACCATTCTTGCATTTTGATTATATATACGATTACTTTCGTCCCGCCGCGAAGCGCGAGATATCCTCCTAGTTTATATTAACAAAGCAAAGAAAATGTATATATGAAAGTTTAACCATTCATAAATCTTATAATTTACCTTGTACGAAGAAATTTATGAGAGGTATTATGAATCAAATCATTTAAAGGTAAACAAAATAACTAAACAAAAAACCATAAAATAAAATGGAGTTTGGACAAGTATATTATTTTTTTCAAAAATATCATAAAAATCATTTAGTTTATATCAAAATTTTAATTAGACATTGTGTTTTTCTTTGTCTCAAATTTGACATTGTATTTTCCAAGTTGTCTTTTAAAGTGACATGATGACGTGTCAAAATTGAAAAATTTGTTACAAAAGACACTAAGTTTCACTTTCTTCAATTTTGACATAAAGTTTTCATTTTTTTAAATAACTTCATAAATGGTCCCTATGGTATCCCGAAATCTGAAGTTTAGTCACTAAGTTTAAAAAACCTCATAGATGATCCATGTGGTATCAAAACTTTTGATGTTTGGTCCTTATGTCTCACGTTATCAGCTTTCTACCATTAAGTAAAAGACATTTTCATCATTTTGCTATCCCAGTGACCATTTATGAGGTTTTATGTTATTTAAAATAATGAAATTTAATATGTAAGGGATCCACCCTCTCTCTCTCCACCTTTTTTCCTAGTAGCCATTTTTGTGTGACTGCTTTTCCATTGATCATCACCAACAATCACCACTACTCATTTTCAACAACCACCGTTAGTCACCTCCACAATCACCATTAGCCACCAGCTACACCAACTCGTCGACCAAATGAAATCGATTTTATTCTCTGTTTCAAGCATGAGTGTGTTTGTTTTGTATGTGTGTTGAAGATTATGAACAATTTTTTGTTTATATCCACTATCACGAGCCATTTATCCCTAAAAAAGAGTTTTGTTCTCCGAATTATTGCTAATATTGTCTTCCCCCAAGAAGACGTTAGCAGAGCCGGTAAGAAGGAGCTA